TAAAAGCTATGAAGAGAAATGGATCACAAAGAATCAGGAAACAAACTGGCATCAGATTTTCAACATCAACACTTGAAGCCAAAAGACAATGGATGGAACAAAGTCATAAAAATTCTCATTCTTAAAAATTCTAGGAAAACCTGTTTAGAAGTAGAATTCTACACACCACTCTCAGCATTATAAAAAGAAGATAATCTATCAGGCAAAGTATAAAAAATATACTCTCCATGGATCCTTTCTCAGAAAGCTACTAAAGATTTTACATAGAATCAAGGAAGAAATCCTAAAAGCATAACACTTATGAAGTAGTTTGTGCTCCCAAGACTTCAAGGAAAAAAAAAAAAAAAGAACAACCCATTACTGAGGAAAGGCACAAACATAGATAAAATATATACATAGAAAGACAAGTCAATTTTCTCAACATTGATTCATAAATTCAATAAAATCTCTCAAAAATGGTATAATAGCTTGTGGTTGTTTTTCTGAATTTCAATCAAGGTATTTCTAAAATATACATGGAAGTGTTAGGGGCCAGGAACATCCTAGAATGTTGAGAGTAGTAGGAGGCAGTCTTGCAGTGCGACCTTGCTTGTACAAATAAGGCTGAAGATCAGAGGATGGAGCTTGCCACTAGCTAACCACAGATCAGAGGATGGAGTTTGCCACTAGCTAACCATAGAGGTCAGGTCTGTACAAGACAGACAGGAAGTGAGATGGCTGGGCACAGGGAGGATATAAGGGGAAGAAACAGGAACTTGCTCTGTTTTTCCTCTGGGAAGCTAATGAGGTAAAAGCAGCTCCTTCTCTCTGATCTCTCAGCATTTTCCTCTACATCTGACTCTGAGTTTTTAATCAGACCAATTAAGAACTCCATTTACAGAGTCTTTCAATAGTAGGAACTTACTTTAATGCTTTTCTAATTCAGATAGTGGAATAGTGAGATAGGGATAGACTGACAATTAAAAACTCAGAAAAATACAAGTTATATATTAGATAATACACTTCAGAGCAGTAAAACTGTTCTACTTAAGGAAAAAACCTGAATGGTTCTGGAACTTTCAAGTATTCATGGTGGGAGGAAGGGACCGAAACACACAGGACTGGATCCCGACTAACACCACACACAAAAATTTAGTAAAATTCTAAAGCTTTTGAAAGATAAAGCAGATTATCTTCATAATACTAGTTTGGGAAAGAATGCCTTAAAAATAAACAACATTAAAAGAAAAGAAAAAACTGAAAAACTGTACTATAGTGACATAAAGAAGTCTCTCATCCAAGACACTATAATGAAAATAAAAATAAAAGCAAAAGAATGAGAAGATATTTATGATACTATAACCAGGAAATGGCTAAAATTCAAAAATGTAGAGATGTGTACACACGTTTATAATACACATAAATATGTTACAAATACTTATACTACATATAGACAGAAAACGAAATAAGAAAATGAACAAGAGAATGGAACACAAAGAAATTTAAACTACAATAAAAATATAAGAAAGCATTTAATAATCAGATAATCAAAAATTCTAACAATACTAAATGTTGACAAGAATGAAGAGCAAAACATCTTTATACACTCCAGTAGGAATAGAAAACAGCCTAATTAATTTGACATCATCTAGTAAAATTAAAGTCATACTGCTCTAGAAGCACAGCCACGATACTCCTGAGTTAAGTCTTCGTGATGTATCCAGCGTTCTATGTCAGAGTCAGAAACTAGGAACAACTCACATGCCCACTAACAGTAAAATGGCAAATGACTGTGATACAATCTGTTGCAGAATGTTTGTGCACTGTGTGAAGATGTGTTGCTGTGACTGGTGTAACAAAAAGCTGAATAGCCAATGGCTAGGCAGCAGAGACAGGCGGAGCTTCCTGGCAGAGGAAAAAAGAAAAGACACCACTGAGAAGCCAATCCAGGATCATGTAACAAATATAATAATGACTTTGAAAGGGAAAACACAGAATATTCTTAATGATTCTCTTTTTAAATGTTCAAACACATAAAACTAAATTTATGTTTAGAGATGCACATCTAGATGCCAAACTGTACAACAAACAAATAAATAACTTAAGGAAAGAGTCTGAGGCACAACAGAATTTCTTGACCCTGATGCTATTTTATTATCTGATAAATACATATGCATGTTTCTGTATTTCTCCCATACAAGAATTACAGATTTTACTACTTTCTAAGGAACACAGCCCTGTCAGCTGCCACCCAGCACATGCAGCCAGGACTTGGCTTCCACTACTTCAACAGTTAGAACAGTTTTCCCGACATGCTACTCAATGCATGTTTTTATGTTACTGTTTTGTTGTTGTTGTTGTTGTTATTGTTGTTGTTTCTGATAAGACAATGTGAAGGACGGTACCTATATTCCTTTACATAAAAAAGAAAACAAACTTAAAATGGTGATGACTTTACAAGCAAGCGACTATGTGAGAAGTCTACAGATCTGGGCGGGTGGAAGGACTGAAACGACATGATGCAAAGCTGACGTAAATAAATTAAGTACACATGTGAGTTCCTAGTTACAATTTAATATTTTAATTGTCCCCAATTTCCATGAGCAAATGGTAGCTAGAATCAAGTTTTCAAACAGTTGTCTACTGCACATGACCTGTACAAACAGTAAGAAAGGTATGACAGCTTTCACCCCACAAAAATAACTTCAGTTTCTCTCACATAAATTTCCAACTTCCAGAGAATCCTGAAACAATTTCTGGAAAGGGGAAAATAAGGACAAAAAGTCAGATAAACTTAATTTTTTGTTACAAAAAAAACAAAAGCAAAAATAAAACTCATGCCTGATTCCTCAAAAGAAAATACAAAGTACATGCACTCTTCAATATCATTGTAAAACACAATCTCTAAGCCCACCATAATTATGCTAGGCAGTGTGATGTTTTTAACACTGAACTACATAAAGCCTTAAATTTTTCAAGAAATTTCAACTGAAGTTGCAACAGAATTTGATAACACATGACCCTCTGCAGAGTAAAATCATACAATCTGCCTATGCTATAGAAATAGCATGTTATCTTCCGGGTCCCTTTTCCTCTCCCATACCACATTTTGCTTCTTATGACCTCTACAGCTAATGACAGTAATTTCTACCACTTACTGAACCCCTTCTGGGTGCCATATACTTTCTGGGTAGTTGTGCTACAAATACTGAAAAGCAGGTCTTCCAATGAAGGAAGGCAGTTGCTGAATAAATAGATAACTTGCCCAAGGTCATAGACTGCTTTGTGGAAGAGCAAGAAATATTCTGGTATAGGAACCCATGGTCTTCATTCTATGCGGTTTTTTTTCTATTTGATGAAATGTCTTCACACCATGAAAACTGCACTGCCGGGGGTCACTTCCTCCTCCCTCTCACTACAAGCTTCAGATGCCTTGTGGGTGTATCTTTACCTCTCCTCAGTAACTGCATATTCAGAGGACATTAGCAGGTGGAAATAGCCCCAGAAATATTAAAGAAAACCTATGGTTTTACAACTAAGAAAACAGAAGTCAGAAGAGGTGACTATTTTGTCCATGACCACCAAGCTGGCTCTCACAGCCAGCACTAACCAAGTCTCCCCAGAAGGATTTCCCATCCACACTCAATGCCCTTCCTACCATGCATCTTCTACAATAAGCTCCTGCTGAAACTGTATTCTATGCCAACTTTCAATAGCATTCATCTGAAGATAACACACTATTTCAACAAACCCATGAGGAAAGGCATGAGCTGAGAAAGATTCAAATGTGAAACACTGGACCTTAATTTTATCATATGAACATGAATGTCAACTATATGACATGTGCTACAGTAGCCATGTGAGCAACATGTTCCAAAAACACTCAGAGCGGAGAAAGTGTGCCTTTCAGACTGGGTAAAGAATGAGGACTGGGATTTTGACAGAATGCATTCGAGGCACACATCACAAGATACAAGGAACTATGCTGAGAAAGTAGGAGAAATGCTTTCTATCAAATGAAGCTGAAGTAAAAACACATTACTGCATATGGGAACAGAAGATCTGAGTTCAAGGTTAAACGGAATCATGTGGCCACGAACTACTTCTGAGCTTCAGAGTATCCATCCGTGGAAATGTGGACACTATCTCTGATCTGCCCACCTCCCAGAACTTATACAGGGGCCAAATTATGTGAAACTCAAAAGTCTTGTATTTATGTTTTCACTTCTAAGCGGCCCTGTGGGTCTTTCCCCTAAACTGCTGCTCATAAAAACCTCACCCTTCAGGAAGTAAATACTCCAATGACATCATCCATATAGTTCCTAGGGCAGTGTAAGCAGCTAACATTCACACCTTCGTGTTCACACCTCAAACCTCTATTGAAATAAATAAATACGCGTGTAGTTTTGTTTTGTTTTAATTCCTCAAGCACTGGTATTACTTTAGAGTCAACGCTCATTATATGTAGAAACTAGAAAGAAATGCAGGTTTTCTTCTGGCAGTTTTCTGTCAAAAATTCCATTCCATGTGGCCAAGCAAGCAACTCAAGAACAGACAGACAGCAAGCTGGCAATCACTTTGCTCTTGTTTTATGTGAACTACAGATACTGCCAGCTATATGCCCCTATCTCCCAAAAGTTACCGGTTTGGGTACAAGCCTACCTGCAAACGCCATGAGCAAACAAGCATTATTAGCACACTGAGAAGCCTACTGAGTTTCTAAATACTTGAAGGCCACAACCGCCCGCTCCTCCCATTAAATTACACTCATTTCTTTCCAAGTTTGACAGGGTGGACGGCTCAACCGTCTCTCTTGAAACTGCATCCGGGCCCCACCGTATTCAGTAAACCCCAGCTAGCGTCGGAGCCACTGCTTCGGTGCTGAGCCCAAGTTTCAACGTACAAAGCCCAAGGAGGGGGGCAAGACGCGGGAAGGGGTGTTGGGGGGTGAAGCCCTCGTGCCACCCCGGACGGGCGGCCGTTTCATCTCCGAAGCCAACTTCCCGTTTTCTCCCGCTTACCTTGTACACTTTCCCAAAGGCTCCGTCGCCCAGTTCTCCTATGATCTCCCAAAACTCTTCGGGGTTCAGGTCTCTCTTCACGTGTTCGTACTGCTTCTTCTTCTTCTCGCTCCCCAACTTGAAGATCTTACGGAAATTGAAGAAGGACATTTTTCCTGCCCAGCAGAGTCCCTGGCACTTAAAGGGCTAGGAACAAT